TCATCTACATCTTCACATCTGCACATCTACATTTTCACATCTTCACATCTGCACATCTACATCACATCTGCACATCTACATCTCTGCTCATCTTCACATCTTCACATCTGTACACCTACATCTTCACATCGCACCTGCGCATCTACATCTTCACGTCTTCACATCTGCGCATCTCACATCTGCGGATCCTCTCGCTCTTCTTTTCTTTCTCTCTTAAGGCGGGGGCGGCGCCGCCCGACGGAGCACCACGAAACGCAACCCTCTGCGGAGATCGCGCGTGTCGAGGGCGCGAAATGCAGGTGACGTTTTTGCCCGGTCCAGCGCAACCCTCTGCGGAGATCGTGCGTGTCGAGGGCCGTTTTGGATTTGTCCCACGCAACCCTCTGCGGAGATCGCGCGCGTCGAGGACGCGAAATGCAGGCGAGATCGCGTTTTGGATTTGGCGCGCGCAACCATCTGCGGAGATCGTGCGTGTCGAGGGCGCGAAATGCAGGTGAGATTGCGTTTTGGATTTGTCCAGCGCGACCCTCTGCGGAGATCGTGCGTGAGGAGGAGCCTGTAGAAGACGAGCAGGAGGAGGAAAGAGCAGCTGAAAAGAAAATAAAAAGCCATCTAAGAAGGACAATGTACTTGAATTGTAGAGCCTGAACAAGGCTGCAAGCAAAAATGCTTGGTTCAACACCAGGCAGAGCCTGAGCAAGGCTGTAGGCAAGTGCAGCTTTAGTCATTAGATTTTGTTTCCTTAACTCTCCTCACCAAAAATTTTTTGTCCACCGGCTTAGTCGTTAGATTCTGTTTCCTTACTGTCCTTCGCCCAAAAAGTATGTGGTTTCTTTTCCTCTTCCTTTTCCTTGTGCCCTCCCTTTTCCTCTTCCTTTCTTTTTCCTTTTTTCCTTTTCTCTGACTCTTGCTTTTCCTCTTTTCTTTTCCGTTTCCTTTTCCGTTTTTTCCTTTTCCTCTTCCTTTTCCTTTGCCTCTTTCTCTTCCTTTTCCCTGTCCTTTTCCTGTTCCTCTTCCGTTTTCTTTTCCTCTTCCTTTCCCTTTCCAGGGAAATTAAGGAAGCAACTTCTAATGACTAAAGCTGCGGACAACAAAACTTGGTGAGGGAAGTTAAGGAAAAATTAATGACCAAAACGGTGGACAAAATATTGTGTGGAAAAAAGGAAAAATTAATGCTTATATAAAACTGTGGACAAAATTTTTGGTGAGGAGAGTTGAGGAAACAACATCTAATGACTAAAATTGTGGACAATTGTTTGGCGAGGAGAGTTGAGGCAACACAGTCTAAAGACAAAAACTGTGACAAAACTTTTCATTCCAGGAAATTACGGTTTTTTACAAAAAAGCAATCCCATCACATTTGATCAAATTTGATCAAGACCATGGTTTTGATCAGATTTGATCAAATTTGATCAGATTTGATCAGGTTACAAAATTTTGTAAAAACAAAGAAAACCAGTAGAATAGATAAGCCACAAGCCAAATCAAACCATCTTTTTGTTTCCTGTTCCTCTTTCTCGACCTTTTCATTTTTAATAATTTATAGTTTTTACAGTTCCTTTTCCTCTTCCTCTTCCTGTTCCTCTTCCTTTTCCGAAAAACACTCATAACAAAATGAGGATGACAATGAAATGCTGACTTTCAAACACAGTTAATTAAAGCATTACTTGTCAGCTTTTTAATGAACATCACGTTCAGAAACAAAAGTAGCAAATCCACTTTTTGCATTTTCAAATCATGTTAAATCACGTTTTTTTGCACTTTGAAAGCAAAAAAGTGCACAAATAAGGTTTTATAAGCTTCAAAGAGGATTTAAAATGATTCAACAGTGATTCAAAAGTGATTCAATGTGATGTTTGTTCTCCTGTAAACAAGGGTCACCTGGAGTCGGGTATCGCCCTGGGGTCTCCACTTCGAGTTGGGGATGCACTTTGCACTCAACAAATTCACAAGCGAATCCATGCTTCACTCCCTGTGTTACAAACTAGAAAAAAGGAAGACCAAGGCAAGCATCTGCACGCCAGTCTGTACCGAAGCTTGTGTCCATCTCTGTACGCAGGCCGGAGCGTCCCACACATGTGTTCTAGAAAACGTCTAGACAGACCGCCCTGTTTGGGGTGCATATCACGTTGGAGCTTGCCAATACCCACATAACGCCAACTCTCCGACCACCACTGATAAATTCCGTATAAAGCCGGGAAACCTTCAACCAACAATCTTTGACGATCAACTGTGGCAACCAAGCAAGACTCATACTGATAGTCCTGCCCCGAACCATGTTTTAGCGGCATTCTTTCATTTTCTGGTATTAGCTTCAAAACTCTCTGGGCTTGATCTGTCCAATGATGGCCGCGTAGCCACAGAAGGCCAGAGGCCGCAAAAACGACAGCAACAAGAATCTCTAGGCTTGGACAAGTACGGTGACCCAAGTGGGAAACAGGAAAGAACCAAATAACTAAATTTTCTGCTACTGCACGTAATTTGTGCCAAAGATCAGTTGAAGGCCGTCTTTTCTTCAGTTCCTGAAGGACGTTGTCTAAAATTCTGTTGGCCAACAACTTTGCATCTGAGTGTGAGAAGGCGCATCGCGAAGGTATAGCTCCAGTTCTCCAGGGGAGCCAACAGAAAATATGGAAACCGTCAAGAAAAAGATTTCAGCAGAGGAGGAACCCTGAATCTTTTTGTGGCTGTATTGGCCTGACTGAGAAAGCATCGCCAAGGGGAACTTGACGGCGTAACAAGCGAACCGTAGCAATTGTAGAGAGGAGATCTCTGAAAAGCCTGCAAAACGCCTGTAAATATATCACTTATGAAGACCGGAGCAAAGTGCCAAGACTCACTTTTACTCAACTCCTTGCACCCATAGCTATGTGCGCCCTTAGTGTCAAGAGTCAAGGGCCTAAGCGCCGGCCTAAGCAACAAGGAGCTGCGGAAGGCCTTCTGTACTGCAAATGCCGTTGCGTCCAGTAACGCAACTCACAACAATTCCAAATTCGAAGCACGAAATCACATTCAATTTATGGCTGCAAAAAAGAGAGAGAAGGATGACAACTTCAATAACTTTGCTTTACTTCAATAACATGTTCAACGTTTTTTTGCACTCCTTGATGACTGCCACGTTGGAAGGATTTGCTTGCAACCGGGGGTGCCTGTTTGTAAGCGTCCTTAGACTTTGCAGGCACTTTCTCGCATTTTGGAAGCGCTTTCTTGGAAAGCATCTAGATGAAAAACTTAAAATGTAAACGATCAAAAGAAAAACGATCAGGGTCAAAAAATAATGTAAAGGCAAAGGATAAAAGAAATCAAGTCTTCGAGCCTAGTGGTCCGCTATAGGCCCTTGGTCTCCTGGTCCGCTGCTCTTTCGGTCTCCGGGTGCAATGGTTCCCTAGCCTTGGCCTCCTAGTCCGCTGGTTGCTGGTCCTTCGGTCTCCTGGTCCAGTGGTCCCCTAGTCCCTTGGTCTCCTAATGTCCTTCAGAGTCCTGCTCCGCTGGGTTGCTAGTTGTTTGGTCTCGTAGTCCTTTGGTCCCCTGGTTCATTGTTGCCCTAGTCCTTTGGTCCCCTTGTCCCTTTCCTGGTCTGCTGGCCTTGTGGTCAGTTGGTCGTTGGTCAAAGACACGAGGTTTGCGAAAACAAAACGCTACCCTGTTGCCTTGGTCCTTGCGTCACTCTTTGAGTGCCCATCATCGATGAGGCAATGGGGCGTGTACTTTGCGATGGTGAACTATTTTATGGTTCCTTTGAGTCTGCTGGTTTTTGATGTTTGGTTCGGCGCGCCCTCCCCGCCAAACCCCCCTCCAGCGACTTTTGCCAATGAGCTGTGCCTACCACGACAGATTCTCTAAAGGTCACCCACGCACCCATCGCTCTCACAAAATATGGCACGCGCCTAAGTCTTTTTGATTGTGTTGCCATCACCCTTTCACTGTCCTGTGGTGGGTGGCCCCTCATTGATTGGGAAATACTGCGTGTAGTTTTCGTGATGTACTTTGTGGTGCCTTTTGTGGTTACGAAATCTTCACGACTTTGGCCAATGCACTGGGCTGCCACGACCGACTCTTTATATAAAGCTCACCCCATCGCATATTCACACAGCAAGTATTGACACCCTCGCATAATTGTTGATTATTTGTTGCAATCATCCTTTCATGGCCCTCTGGTCGCTCACCCTGCTGCTGTTGTCCTTTCCCTAGTTTCCTTTTCCTTTCATTGCTCACTGGGAGTTGTTTTTCTGCACCCGTTTTTCCCTTTTGATCCCCGCCGAATATGTTTTTATTGGTGCTGTACTTTTCTTATCTTTTTTTTTTGATCCCTCACCCTTCTTGGAAGGGGGTCCTTATCAGCGTTTTTCCTGATTTCCACATTTGTATTTCAGGGGTGACCGCCCGTCAGAAACCATTATGGAGGTGGGTGGTGCACATAAATAATATAATACCTCAATTTTTTTAAAATAGAGGTATACACCTCCTCCCCACCAACAATGGAGGGGTCATCGTTGTCATACTGTTTCCAATCCAGGAATACTGCAATTTTTCAGGTTTGTGTTTTCTCTCTGCAATTTCATGAAGCTCCCATTAATGTCGACGTCGGATTAAATTACCACCCTCAAGGCCAACAAGGTTAAAATTGGAGGACCACATCCCCCTAATAAAGGTGATGACCTGATGATGGATGATGAGTTGATGACCTGGACTGGATGATGGTTGATGGGGTTCTGTGTGAATCATGAGATATTGGATACTGGATACTGCCCAAACGGAAAAACAACATAACATCACGTAAATTGTAAACTAACGATATGTTTTTTGTTTTTTCTGGGGCAGCTGATTAATATGGAGGGGTTCTGGCCAGGACAAGAAATTATTAGGATGATGTCAAGGTGGAAATTTAGGCTTTAGATTAGTTTAGCATTGGGGGCTCGAGCTGCGCTTGATAAGGGGGTTCATGAATCCTATGTCAACGTGAATAAAGCCAGTTTATTGGATATATTGGCTGTGACCAGGTACTTGCCTCACCCTGTGGCAGCGCGAAAGCCAAGGCAGGTCGGTCGATGAACAAAGCAAGACTGTGTCCACAATTTCAGGTTCAAGGGTGTCCACTGATGCCCCTGGTGTCCCATCTCCCAAAGTTGCATCCTTTGGGCTCAGGTCACTTCGGCCACTCCAAGTGTGGTTAGACTGAAGCCGAGTGGCAAAGCAAACAGATATGCTCCCGATCCCGGATCTTGCCGATCTTCCGAGTCACGTTCTACTTGGAGAGGGCCAAACTTGCCCAGCGAACTGAACGACACACCGGGGAAGCTTGAAACTCGCTGGGCCACGGCATCTGTGTACACAGCTGCAGCAGTCAATGCTGACTCGAATGGCTGGGGTGCTACTGCAACAGCTGCAGAAGCTGTTGCCACAAAGTGGCGAGAAAAAGAAGTTGGTTTGCCGGATGACTCCTCACCGCACCTTGGAATGTGCAATAGAAATCTTGAAACGTGGGCCCACATTTAAACAAATACTAATACAGTACAATATACAATTTAATTTGAAGTACAATTACCATTTCTTGTGAGGGGTATTGAAGGGTATTGTGTAGGTGACTTCCTAGGCAAATAGCCCGGACATAAGACCAGTTGTTTGTCTCGCATGTAACTTATTGTAATTTGATCTACAGTAATAGGTCGATGACCACAGCAATCATCCTATGCCTCAGCTTTGCTGTTGTATTACCTCGACACGTATCCTCGTAGCGTCCAGTTTTTACGAGCGCCTTGCTTCATTCGACAGTAGTATTTTGATACGGGGGGTGGTGACCGGTGTTGGTTGAGGGCCGACTTGGTGTAGGTAGCTTCAGGCGTTCCTAATAGTAATGTATAGTAATAACAAGAATTCATTGCATTCATGTATCTCATGTGTATTCTCCTAAAATGAGAAGGAGACAGGGATGTTAATTTACATGATGTTACATACACACTCCATGTCACAAAAGGCAGACACCTTGATGGGCGAGGAAGCCTCACAAAGCTGTGAGTTGCGACCAACCAAGAACGACCCACCCAGATACCAAAATCACCGTATCCTGTGCCAAGTAGCCAACACATGCCAAACACAACGGAATAAGATGGAAGGCAGCAGAAATTGAACCAATCTATAAATTTCAAATGAGGCGGAAAAACAGCGGGGCTTTGATTTTAATCAGGAATGCTCCCAGGGTTCAGAAATCACTTGGCCACCACTTGGAATTCCTGTTTTCAGCATGGATATGGTACTCTGCCCGCGCTAGGCTAGCAAAACGCAGGGCGGTAGGGTTCGGTAGGCTTGAGTTGGCTCTAATTAGGTTGTAACATTGTTTTGCCTAGGCTCTTGATCAAGCCATTCGGTGGCCTGAGGCATTGGCAGCGGAGTGCGCTAGATCCACGCTAGATTTATATAATACTTTCATTGGAGAGAGCCTGTTTTCAAGATTTACAACAAAAAAGTCAACATAGTAGATGGTGCCAAAAGTCAAAGTCAAGCAACAGTCAAACCAGACAGTTTCAGAAAGTCAACATTGGCCCAGATCCAACTGTTTTTTGGCTTTGTTTTTGGACTGTTTCGAGTTATTTTCCAATTTTGACGTTTTTGACGTTTGTTTGACTTATTGTTTGACGTTTACGGTTTATTTGACTTGTGTTTGAAATTTTCGAGTTGCTTTCTAACATTGACTCTTTTTTGACTGGTTTTTGACTTCTATTTTTTACGTTAACCTTTCCATTTAATTTGATTGGTTTGATTTGTTTCTTTTTTAACAGGCTTTCCTGGCCTTACCATATGAAAGTTGTTTATACTGCTATATATAGATCTGTGCTAGGCCACTTTGCACATTTGACCACTTGCCCACCCTTCCAGATATAATTTACATTACTACTTCTACAACCGACTGCAACGACAGTTGGAGCTGGGATTATGTTTTTGCTACCGGTTTCTTTTTTCAATAGGTGGAAGGCATCAAGTGACACATGAGGTTGGAAAAAAATATTATTTCAAACAAAAACGGAGGTTATTGCTTTTTTGTATGTCGGACAAAGAACAGTGAGACCGGTACCAAAGACAACACGAAAGACTACGGTACCAACTCGCACTTTTGGAGGTTGCTATAGAGCCGTGCTCGAGTAGGGGTGGTGAACCACAAGAACACCCTTTCTGTTTCCGTTTTATCATTTCAATGGGTCACGGCTTTTGCATGTCAGAAGTAGAAAAAATCATTTACAGTACTCCTCTTCTTGTTCATTTGTTGTAGAGTCGTAGATCCTGTTGGACAGCGCTGACGACAGCTACAGCAACACGGAACTGCATGACAACACAAGCTCCCTACAAGCAAACCACACACAAGCTCCCTGGTAGAGTGTTCACTCCTTGGCTGAAACCTCTAAATTACAATGCTTTGTAATGTTTGCCTTAGCTCTTGGATGTCCTACGTCGTAGCCTTACTTTTTAACTTCCTATTACACTCATCTTCGTCCCCCATTCCATGTTCTTCCTTAGATGTTTCCTTGTTTGCGACAAGGCAGAATGCGACAATCCAGCCGCTGATCGACGATGTGAAGCCGGGCCCAATGGAAACTCACTGAACATGATTGAACCATCGACTGTATTTCCTCGATGCTGAGGGTGGCCAATATGAATGAGCGCGCAGCAAATGGAGCCTTTGTGCTTGAACCGGGTCAACAGGTGCAACTTTGGTGAAAGCTCGAGGTCTCTTAGCCAGTCCCTGTGCAGGTGCCAGAGCTGCAGTGCGTCGACGAGATCGAGAGTCTGAGCCTTGCAGTTCAGCTCCTCTTTCTTTTCTAATCTGTAAGGTAAGCTGAACTGAACAGCTGATAGGCTAGTTGAGTATTTGCGGACAAAGTGAGTATAAGAGGTCTGGGCAGTTTCTATATTCGTCATTGTGAGTAGTATGGTTTAGAATGGTTTAGACGGTTTAACCGGTTTTGCGTTGTGTCCGGTCGTACCACCAGTTAGTTTGGTGGCGGTCAGTTTCTGCACACTGTGTAGACATATATATATATACATGTTGTATCTATGTTTCTAATATGTATATAATATATATATATATCCTTGGGGCGGGAATCAACATATATTGCACAAAACTAACGACTTTACGGGAAAAAATAAACAGTCACCAAACCCTTTTGAAGCAGCAAAGAGGTTTGGAAATTGACCTTGGAACGCAATGATCTGAAGCTGCATATGTAGGGAAATGAAAGCCAACGTCTCCTGGTGTTTCTGCGACCTGTTCCATAGTAACACCGAGCCACTTTTGGCCCGAACCCAAAGCCCATGCCATGTGCGACAGAAAATACCGCCTTGAGCGACATTAGCCTAAACCTTGCTCATTCAAATGCTTGAGCCAAAATGGCTATCGTGCGTCGGCCAGCTAACATGATCTCATCATACACAGGCCGCTTCGTGGGCGGTAGGTATGTCATCAGTTATTGGCCAGCATGTGTGTACTGTCATGCTTATGTGTTTTCATGGGCCGTTGGTTTTCCCAATTTTCTGTTGTCTCCTCTCCTTTCCTTTTTGCCAATGTCACGAACTGCGACTCCTGACCAGCAACGCCCTGTAGATTTCACGCGTTTCCTCATCAGGTTTGGGGGTATATCCAAACAGATTTGGGTGTTTGTTTTGACTCTTTAGCCTAGCTCCACTATCAAAAACAATATTATCACAAATGTTTTGGAGGGGGCCATTATCAAACCAACGGTCCTCGAAAAAAGGGCACTGTTTCCCAAGCAAGGTTGGAAATAGCGCCCTTGACTCAGCCAAGCCTATTGGTGTGCCTTTGTTCATCTTCCTCGCGTAGCTCCACAAGTTATATAACTCAATAACAAATAGATCTGAAAAAATCGTGCATTTTCTTGCTTCCCAACATTATGGGCAAGGGCACTTTCTCCAAGATATAGCCGTACTTGGAGATTCATTCTGCAAGAAAAGCCTAGCAGCTAGCGGTTGCCGCTGTTCAGTTGTTTTTGTAGTTTTCATGGGGAAATGCCAGCGATCCATTCCCTTCCACTGGGTTTTCTGGAAACACTGCTCTACTAATTTGCTGAATCTGAGGGTTTTTGACTCCGGACTAAATTAGGTGTGGCCACTGCCAGCAGCGAGAGCTTGGCCAAGGAGGACAATGAGCTGCGGGAGTTTTTCACTTGCCAGATTCTTTGTTCGCGGCAAGAAACCAAAATTTGTTCTCAAGTGGATTTATGCTCAGGTGGAGCATTTGCAAGTGGTAGCCGTCTAGATCACTGTTGCCGTGAGCTCGGGGGACATTGCAGAGCGGAGGACGGCTTTGTTCCCAGAGCAGAGCCGGGCTGCGTTGGCATTCAGGTCCAGTTTACAGACTTATTGATGATGGCAGTATGAGTGGACTTGGAGATGCAGTGCCACTATATCGTTGGAGTCTCATCAGCTGTCAGCCGTCAGGCTAACTTTGTTTCCCTTGTTTCCAGCCCAGAACGTTTGGTGCAGACACGTGCAGGCTGCTTGCCAGTCATTGAACACCTCGACCTCAGGTCACACAATATCTGATTGCCTGCTGCTGGGCTTTCCTGTGAGCCTGTTAGCACCGCAAACCTCACTAGAGGACAGCACAGTCACCAGCGATAATTAGCGAACCGCACAAGAGGTTTGCAAGTTGTGTTGCATGTTTGAGGACATTCGGCTCTTTTTTTGCCGCGGGCCCTTGCCTGTAATGCGGCGATTTGGTCAAGGCACTTTCAACATTTTTTGGTGCAGGGGTTCTTGAGGGATTGTAGATACACAATGATGCCCTACGTCCACATCTCACACATGAGGTGCTTTGGGATGCATGGAGATTCTGCTTGAGCTCTTTGGAGATGCCGACAGCATTGGGGGCAAGCAGAAAGGCCATGGTTGCAAGACATCTTGCTGTTTTCCTAGACACGTCGGAACAAATCAATCATGCGAAGGGTTCTACAAGATATACAAGGAAGCTCCTTCTGCCTCCTTCAAGAACCCAATTTTGTCCACTTCGGAATCCGTGTTGTTTGGTAGCTTCTTGTTAACTACTAAGCTATGCGCCTTCTTCATTTTTCTCACGGTCTTCAGGGTCTCCTTCCAACAAATACATGATATGATAGATATAATACGAACCAACGGATTCGTCAAAGATTCCTGACCCCGACAGCCCGAGGTGAGTTCTATGTGCTTTCCGAAGGTCCGGGGTATGGGAACTGTGAAAGTTCAGGAAGCACTGGGCCTTTTGCTGAGAGTATGAAAGTTTGGAAGGTCTTTGTTGAGAGTTCAGGAGCGAGTGATCGGGAGAACCTGCAATTCTCATTTGTGAGGTCGCTTTGCTACCTTCCAATCCTGGTCGCGAGACAATACTCACGGAGTTGTACGCCGCCTGTGTTTGTCAAGTTGTTGTTCCAGATGTCCTCCTGCCATCTTGAGGTACAGCGCCTTCTTGCGAAAGAGTCCTTTTCTTTGATTCATCCATATTCATCCCAATCGTCCGTAAATACAGCAGCATAGACAGCACAGTCATAAAGGCGTGAACTACCATGCCCAGGTGGACAAGCGCAGGACCCAAGCTCGCTGCTTCATAAAGCTCCCTGACATTGCACAATTTGCAGGCAGCAAACACGACAAAGGACAAAGAACAGCAAGTAACCTCAGCGAGCTTGCCCTTTGTTAGATGGTCTTTGTCTTTGCCCTTTGAGCGATACAACTCCATTGAAGGCTTTGCCTTTGACACCGTGGAGACTCGACTGAAAGCAGAGATGTACCACAGCGATCAGCAAGGCAAAGCGGTTTGGAGCTTGGCTTTCTAGCTGGCATAGCTTGGCCTGTTCTGTGAAGAACGTGATCAGTCAGTTTGTTGACGGAAAGAAGGCTCATGCGGAAGGAGAAGGAAACCAGACTGGAGAAAGAAAGGTCTAGAGTCTACAGTCTGACGAAAGACAGAAACAAGGGAAGACAATGAACAGAAAGGACACACCATAAACACCAAAGAGATCCAAAGAGTCTTTGCCTTCGTTAGGTCCGACTGCTGGCAAACTTTCTTTCTTCCATTGGAAGGGTCCAGGAGGGTCCGACAGGGTTGAGGTCGAACGGATGTTGCGCTGGTGGTATTCCAATGTCCCATGTGCTATGTATGTACATCATCATACATACCCATCAGAACGGCAGCCATTTGCAGGAAGCGGTTCAGCACTGGCAGCAAGCTTTGAAGGAAGATGAGGCCCCTTAAACCTCGTACTCAGTTCGTCTCGGCTAAGTATGGTCCAACCTTTCAGGGCCTCAGACGCAGGGTTGAGAGAGCCAAGCAGAGCCAAGTATGCAGTCAAAATGAGTTATATATATATATAAGTTATGAGTGAGATGGAAGCGTGAGAGGCACGGCTTGGCAGCAGTCATTTGCAGACGGCGCAGTCTGCGGCCGCTCTTGCATCTTGCTTCGACGCCACATACTCAGATTCTTTCAAAACAATAGCCAAGAGATGGAAAAGGGGAAGGTAAGCACCTTACTTATTTGAGGGCTTACGCCCAACAGCCGGCCAGGGGCGTCAAGTCAGGGGGCTGGGGGGCGAAAGCCGCGGTCGTGGTTGTGGCTGTTGTTGTGGTTGTTGGTGATGGTGTTGTTGGCGGTGTGGCTGTGACTGTTGCTGTTGTCGTGTGCGTCAACATATATGACAAGCTGAGCCAACATAGCCCAAGATAGCGCCAAGATGGGGCAACGCAGTGCCAGCATCGGCCAAACATCCGCCCACGATGCAGATGAAGCACCCCGGTGCGGCACGCATTTCCAGCATTATTTGGGCCTATGTTGGGCTATGTTGACCCCTCGCGAGCAACAGGAGCGGAAACAAAAAACATAAAAAACCCTGAGTTTTTTGTTCCCCCACCTGGGGTCGGCTACGCTTTCTGCTTCGCAGAAGCAGGCTGCTCCCCTGGAGGGACACTGTAAAAAACGATGTTTTTGAACATCATGCGCAAAAAACCTGGTAAATACATATCTGTCGACCAGATTCGGGCGGGGGTCGACCGGGGGCCGGGCGGGGGTCGACCAGGGGTCGACCGGATTCTCCCCGCGGTCCAACAAAAGGGTCGGCGGCAGGGGCGGCGAGCATATATCCGGCCAGGGGCCCCCTGGCCGTGTCTTTGCCTACGAGTCTCTCCTCTCCGAAGGAGAGAGGGCTGACCGCCCCTCGCCGCCGACCCCTGCAGAATACTGTGTTTTACAGTGTTTTCTGCTTCTTCCATTTTTCCGGCTTTGTGGTTCAAGATGGATCACCATGGCATACCATGGCCCAACATAGGTCCAAAAAATGCTGGAAATGCGTGCCGCACCGGGGTGCTTCGTCTGCATCGTGCGGTGCTGCTGGGCCAACAACAACAACAACAACAAGCACAACAAGCACAACAAGAACAAGAACAACAACAACAACAACAACCACAACCACAACAACCACAACAACGGACGACATATGTCTAAGATGGGCCAACAGAAGGTCAAGGTGGGGCAGCATAGGGCCCAGATAGGCCAAACATAGCCTCAAGATGGCCCCACAGAGCCCAAAGATAGCCCAAAAGTGGCCAACACAGCCCCGACTGTGGGCCAACATGGCACCCAAAATGGGCCAACAAACGACAACTACCATGACAATAACACTACCACGACTGCTACAACCCCTTTGCTTGGGCCCCTGGCCGGCTGTCGGGCGTAAGCCCCGGATTTATGAGGCTTACGCCTGACAGCCAGGCGCCGGCCAAGTAGGCAGCAGCGCGGCTAGGCCCGGGTGCAGGCGTGCACAGCCCACGTGACTCCCAGACGTCGCCTGGCACGTTGCCTGGTACGTGCCAGAAGCTCACTCCCAACCTCCGCCACGCTTTTCCAAGGCAGCGTGCAGGCGCGCACAGCCGACGTGATGGGCACAGAGCAAGCTCCTCCCCTCAACACGATGCTTGCGCCCTCCCTCCAAGGCTCCCGGCAATCTCCTCCGCCACGCTTTTCCACCATCTATTTCAATACCAAAAAGGGACGCGCCGTAGCCAGCCAAAATGCCTATCGTTGTCTGGCACGTTGCCTGGTACGTCGCCTTCGGGAGACCATAAAACTAGTTGCCTGGTACGTGCCAGAAGCTCACTCCCAACCGGCAACCAGCTCCGCCACGCTTTTCCACCATGGTGGTGGCCACCAGACGGCAGCATATGGCCACCAGACAAGGCCGTATACAGGAGCTATAGTAGCAGCAGCGCGGCTAGGCCCGGTGTAGCACAGAGCAAGCTCCTCCCCTCAACACCATGTACCCTCCCTCCAAGACTCCCGGCAATCTCCTCCTCCGCCACGCTTTTCCACCATCCAATCATCCAATTCGATACCAAAAAGGGACGCGCCGTAGCCAGCCAAAATGCCTAACGTTGCCTGGCACGTTGCCTGGTACGATTGCTCGATCGGGGCATGGGCATCTCTGTTGTGCATGAAGCACTCACTGCAGACCTCAAAGTCATGTTTAGGCATGCTATGAGGAAGCCTTCGGGAGCCCATAAAACTAGTTGCCTGGTACGTGCCAGAAGCTCACTCCCAACCGGCAATCTGCTCCTTATGCTCTTATAGAAAAGAGGTGCAGGCCAAGGCCTTCTAGGCTTATGAGGTGCAGGCCAAGGTCTTCTAGGCTGGTGTGGCCAGTGAGCAGCCCAGCTAAATGCCCAAAACGGGCTGGCGTCGCAGCGCAGGGTTTGGGGCCCAGCTGGATCTGCTTGGCCTGGGCAACTGTTTCACCCTGCGGTGTCCCCGGCGTCGCCCCGCCTAGTAGGCGTCAGCTAGGCAGGGGTCGGCGGACATTCCTTTGTCGTCTCTTTCTACATGTTTGTATAAACAACAGTGCCCACATTTGTTTAAATTGATTTTGCGGTCGAGAGGATCTTGGACGAGCAGAAGAAGCCGAAGTTTTTCATTCCAAAGCGCTTGACGCCCTTGCAGCCTGCTGAGACTGAAGCACACAGCCGGCTAGAGAAAAAACAAGATGAAAGAAGATCCAACTTTTTTGTTGCTCTTTGTTTTCTGATTTTTCATGGCTACCAAGGCCAAAAGCTTTGGGCGCAGCAGCTGCGAAGCAACAGCATGCGAGCTTGCCCTGGCAGCTTGCCGCTTTGTGCAAGGCCAATGGTGAATTGCAAGACTTCACAAGACACCAAGTATTATAGCCATAGCATTCAGATTCTGCCCTGGCGAGGCAAAAGCAAACTACACGGGATGCTCCCAGCAACTCAGTCTGGGGTGCTTTGCCTTCAGGCTCCCACTCTGACTGCTTCTCTACGCTGTTTTCGCCAGATCATGTGCGGCGCCTGCTTGTTTCCGTATCCTGCGACTATTGGTACATACTGGTACGATATGTGTCTTCTCTAGTGCGTCTTTGGGTCTTGCCAAACTGCAGTGGCAAAACCAGCAATTGACACGGTCACGCTCAATAGACTCAATAGATCAGAGTTTTTTTATGCAGAAGGCTGGTTCATTGCAGAATCTGATGTTCGTTTGTAGCGCAGAGTTCGTCGAGCGCAGCAGCAGCAGCAGCAGCGGCGCTGAATAGAACAAATTGTTTAACAAGAATGAAAAACACAAAAATGATAAATAAACAATATTGTCGCAGAAATGGGATGGCAGATGTATCAATGAACCTGTGCAGCTGATCAAGCTGCTAAAGACATCAAAAGACTCTCTCGCTGCGAAGTCTGTCTGCAGTAGTGTCCTAGCAGAAGTATTTGAGAACAGCAGGAAGGCCAGCGCAGCTTTGTCCAGCCAGGCCTTGGTGCCTTGCATTTGAACCCATCAAAGAGCACCTTGTTTCGAACCCACTGTCAAGAGGCTTCGTTGTTGTGTCACTGTGTTCCTGGTGCCGGGTCAGGGTTCCAACTTGCCTCCATGGCAAGGGAGTATGCGGGCACCTTTTGTTGGAGCTTTAGATTCATTCCTGTACGTGAATCTATGCTGCAGAGCTTACTGAATTTCTATCACTGAATCGGCTTCACACGAGAAAGTCATTAGTCACTATAAGTTACAGTAACATTTAACGCCAGCTTCAATTTAACAATAGCTTTAATTTGCCATTTGGCACATCCCACGCAGTCATGTTTCTTCCTTCCGGTTGCGTTTCTCTTCTTTGCTTTTTCTCCCTTCCTAGAGGCTTGTTAGGTGTAATCCTGGTTGTGCCAGATTCGAGGCTTCTTTGTGTGTTTCCAACGCACTGTTACGGAACACTGGCTCTCAGTTAATTTGCCGCTCGTGGTTGGAATGCACATACACAAAGTTATTTTTCCTTCCAGTTGCGTTTCTCTTCTAGAGGCTTGTTAGGCTGTAATTCAAGTTTTTGCTCGGAGGACACCAAGTCGTTTTTCTCCTTCCGGTTGCGTTTCTCTCCTCTGCTTTTCTTCCTTCCTAGAGGCTTGTTGGGCTGTAATTCAGTTTGCGCCGCCGGGCTCGGCTTCATTTTTGCTTCCAACACTGTTGGTGGGTCTCTATTAATTTGGCGTTCATTCGGCGCAACTGCTCGGAATACACCTAGTCATGTTCCTTCCTTCCAGTTGCGTTTCTCTTCTCTGCACGTATTTTCTCCTCCCTAATAGAGGCTTGTTAGGCTGTGATTCAGGTTTTTTGCAGGCATGGACTCTTTTTGTTGCTTTTCTTTTGTTTTTTTTCCCTCTCTCTCTCTCTCCTCTCTTTTCTAGAGCCTTGTCAGGTTGCGCCAACTCGGCTCGGTGTGTGTGTGTGTTACCCTCCGTTGCCAGGAGTTTGTTTCTTACTCAGTTCACAGGGGGCACGGCGGCCGTTCACCTAGCCGTGCTAACAAAGCTATGGTGTTCGGCTGGAAGAGACACTGGACGCAGTATCTTGTACCTGCAAATTTTTGATAGTAGTCACACTCAAACATTGTTGAACAATTCTTTTGAGCTGACTTTGCGCCTTTCCGTTCCATCTTTCCCTTCCTCGGGGAACAGAGTTAACTGAAAACCCAATGACTAAGTGTGTAACCCTTGGAGTCACAGGGATCCTGATGGATTCATGTTTTCTTTCAGCAGGGGGCCGGGGCCAGGTGGGGGGTCCGGGCAATGAAGACACCCCTTACCTGGGTGTAAACGTACGTACATTTGCGACAACACCCCACTCTTCCACCGCTGTGGTGTGTTTCCATGGTGTTTGCGCGATATTCCCCTAAACCTGGCTCAATTCTAATATATTTCTTGTGTGCTGCAGACCTGCCCGCTACGTCCTCATTTGTCGCCTCGGGATCGGCTTGAGCTTTTGGTCCCACTTCCGTTTTTGAGGGCCGGCTTCGCTGGTTTTCATTTGATCTGGTCAGGGTTTGGGTACCCAGGTTGGCGTGTGGCAAACCGCATCCAATTAGTACGCATTTCCATAAGTGTGTCTGGCTTCATGCCAGCCCAGGGTGAGCCCGCAGAGTGCCCCCTGTGGACCCGTCGACCGGGGGTTTGTCGTTGTTCCCCCTGGCCGGGAACGTAGGTGTCCGAAGCGGACAGCAGTAGGCTTAAGCCAAGGGAATGGTGTTTTTTGCGACAGTAATCAGGGTATTTCCAGACAGTCATGTAGATCGGTGTTTTTTCGACCAGTCACCGGTGTTTTTTGCTACGGTGACTAGGTTCGGTGTTTTTTGCACCAGTCGTCTGGTGTTTTTTGCGACGGTTCCTCCTGGTCGCTGTTTTTTGCAATGGTTCCCCGTGTGTAGATAGAGAGCTGAATCGGCCACAGTGGCCCGACCGTCGTTGCGTGTATGTATGTATGTATGTCTGTATGTATGTGTCTATGTACGTATCTATGTATGTATGTGGGTTAGGGTTTAGGGTTTTCCTTTTGCTCTTTCTCCCTTTCTCTGTCTTTCTAAGGCTACTCAGGTAGATGTAACTCAGGCAGTGCCGGAATCGGCTTCAGTTCACCAGTACTGGTTCCTAACCGACTGCGGGCTTCTATTAACACCTACTTTCTCTCTTGCCCTCTTCCTTTTGCTCTTTCTCCCTTTTCTTGCTAAGGCTTGTTAGGTGGCTACGTAATTAGGTGTTTTGCACGCTTTTAGCCTTTAGGCCTTTAGCACGCTTCTAGCAGCGCCGGTTCGGCGCATTGTGTGTGTCAACAGCCGTTTCCGGGGTCTCTACTCTAATTACTTTCTCGCTTTTAAGTGTGTGTGTGTGTGTCCCACCCTGGACAAAGGGTTTTTCCACCACCTT